TCTATGATAAGTAAAATGACTGTGTTGCCTGAAGTCCTTTCCACACTCCAAGCATTTATATGGCTTCTCCACTGTGTGGATCCTTCTATGGGCAGTAAGATGATCACGTTGGGTGAAGTGCTTTCCACACTCCATGCATTTAAGTGGCTTCTCTCCTACGTGTATCCTTTTATGAGATGTCACTCTTTCTCTAGAAAGAGTGAAAGCCCCATTGTAATTTTTTCCATTGTCTTTGCATATATACTCTTCTGGTTTGGCTTGGGTTGGATAATATTCATTTACATCTAATATGTCTATGAATAGTTCTACACCTTTCTCTATTTTTCCTTGTTGGTCAAGAAAGCCTTCCAACTGAACATCAGCTGAAGATAAGCTTTCCTTATTCCAATCATTTGATGGGTTTCTCTCCTGTTTTTGTTGTTCCATTTGATTTGCAGGTTTCTCTGTTCTGTTCCCAAGTCTGAACTTTTGGAATGGTTCCATTGACTCTTTATTTTCCTGCCCATTATTACCTTCAAAGGGAAGGAGAAATAAAAATGTTAGCAAGAAGACGTACAAATTTCCCTCTGATATTGTGCCAAATTCCAATATTTGCATATTAGTATACTTATAATGGCATGGTATATAAATTATAATATCTCTATTCATGAGATGTCAAAGCTTTCAAACATCTAAAATAAATTTTAATTTAGGAACCAGGAGAAACATCCAAAAAGTATTTGTAGATAACCTAAAATTTATTAGTGAGCCAATTCCCGAAGAGCCCTCTGAGAATTAATTTTGAAACTCATTTGACAGGTTTAAATAGTAATAATAAAAAACAATAGTTGACAAATGGCACAGGATGCATCTAAGCAGAAAGCCATTGATCTATTTCCATACTAGGAGCAGTAGAACAGCATGACTTTTTCTTTTCCTTCTCAAGTGATGACCTCTATTAGGAGATTTTTTAATAAGAAACAGCCAGTGGCATCTAACGACAACATCTCTTCCTGAACTCTCTGACTGGAAAATAGAAAACCTTACCTAAAGAAGCCACATTTCTATAATTCTCCAGCAGGACTTCTGAATGCAGAGCTTTTTGGTGAGGATCCAGCTGAGACCACTCCTCCTCAGAGAAATAAACAGCCACCTCCTCAAAGGACACAAGACTCCCCTGAAAATAAACAAAAAAAAGGAACAGAATAGGCCTGGGAAGGACTGCAAGATCTGCCCTATTCTTTAGAAATTCCCAACGCAAAGTTATGCACTAAGGTCTATGCTGAGTAGGATTCCAGGATTGAGATGAGAAAATGAACAGAACAAAAAAGCATTTGACTGAAGAAATATTTTAGGCAGCTTTTATCATTTTGATTGATTCTACAGGACTTTTGGTGCCATTGAATAAAGGTAACCCCAGTTTCCTTCTGGATCGATTTCATCTACCATCCACTCTCAAAACACTCTTCTCAATTCATTAATCTATTCACCATCAAAAGACCCTCAGCATCTGGAGAGAATCAACTGGCAGGTGGGCCTTGGAAACACCACCTATCAGAGACTCTAATCCTTCCTATGTTTGCAGAAGGAAATGTGTGTGTGTGTCTTGAAAGATTTGGTAAAGTGCCATCAATATCCAGAGACACAAAACTCTTCATATAGCAAGGAAGCGGTTAATAGTCTGAGCCATTGGCTGAATGGGAGACAAAGAAACATAACTTTTCATAAGGAGAACATTTCTTAGTCTTTGTAGCCAAAGGGGAGTTTCCAAACAATTTTTGTACTGAGCTTTTTCTATATGACCACTTTCAATCAATTTTAACTTACCTTACCTTTTAATCTGATGAGCTTGATTTTTGAAGAAAAGGGAGAATACAAATCTAATAAATAATTTTCCTTCTCTTACTTGAGTTGGAGGTTCAACCGTTGTTTCATCTTCACCATAAGGAAGAGTCAGCTTCCCACTATTCTTCCCTGTCAGACAGAATTAACAAAATAGGCGGAGGTGTCCTATAATAGCAAAGACATAGAGAAGATGAGACAACTGAGATCTCTATGGGGAATGGGAGTCTTGTATTACTTGTGGATGTTTCTTGATTTGTGTCATGCTGAGTAGTCTTCAAGAAAAACAGTTCCCAAGGAGTATCGGATAGATGCCTCCTTCCCTCAGGATCTTTGTTCTCCACAGTGAAGGTCTTGAAATATAAGCCAGAGAAAAGAAGAATGAAAGGACCAGACACACCATGAAATGGATTCTTGTTCTGTTCTTTCAACACCATTTGAAAGCACCCAATGTCCATCAGTTAGATTGGAAGGTAAGAAAGAAAAGACTGTCTCAAATATTTCTTCTAGAAATGGATAATGGGACAACGTCCTTCAAGAATTAGTGAAATGAATGCCAGAGAACTGGTAATGAGGAGCATAGAATTCGAACACATTGTTCATTACATTTAAACCCCTTCTAGGCTCCTGAGATGAAATTATCTCACCTGCAATTCAACCTGCTCCTTCTTCTCCTCCGCCTGGCTCAGGAGGAAGCCTTCCACCAGGGCCACCGCCTGGGAGCTGGTCTCTGCTCCACACTCCCGCACCCAGCTCTCCATCTGCAGGGGCAGAAGCGCCAAGAACTGCTCCAGAACCACCAGGTCCAACATCTGCGCTTTTGTGTGCTTTTCTGGTCTCAACCATTGACTACAAAAGTAGTGGAGTCGGCTGCAAAGTTCTCGGGGACCTTCATCCTCCTGATATTGGACATTCCTGAACTTCCAGGGCTGAATTTGTGAAACGATGGTTCCTTCTTCCAGCATCTTCTGCCCAGTTCTTGCCCAGATCTCCCCACAGCTCCCAGACTGAGCACCATAAGGGGTTTTTCCAGTTCTCTCATTTGCTAAATGGCTTACCATTCTTCTTCTGTCCTATTACACAATTCCAAATAGGTTGAAGGAATCTCGAGGATCTCCAAATGCCTTTTCATTTATTGGAGCATTAATCTAGCCTCAGGACTGACCAGAACAAACCATTCAGCTCTTTTTGTTGAAGAGAACTTTGTCTCTATAAAAGGCTATACAAGTCACTTCCAGTTTACGTATCTGAGACCAAAAACAAAATAAATGCCAATAATTAGAAAGTGGTGCATTTAACCATTCAATAATAATCTTACTCCTGCAAAGAAGTATGTTTCTGAGCTAGCGTAGGATTACGGTGGCACTGAGCAGTTAGTTTTTGTGTGTGATTGTGTGTGTGTGTTGCAAACTATGGGATTGACCCTCATCAAAAATTGGGATGAAATGCACTGAATAAATGCATTTCAGAACACTTTTTTCCCTATTTCTTTCTCCCCCAATCTTGCTTTTTAAAAACCAAGAAATACATATAGACTCTAGAAAAAGAGAAGAGTAACTAAGAGATTAGAAGACTGGAGGCTAAAACATACAAAGAATGGTTGCAGGAACTGGGTATGTCTAGTTTAATGAAAAGAAGGACTAGGGCAGACATGATAGCAGTGTTCCAATATCTCAGGGGCTGCCACAAAGAAGAGGGAGTCAAGCTATTCTCCAAACAAAGCACCTGAGGGTAGGACAAGAAGCAATGGGTGGAAATTAATCAAGAAGAGAAGCAACTTAGAACTAAGAAGAAATTTCCTGACAGAACAATTAATCAGTTGACAATGTGCCTCCAGAGGTTGTGAATGCTCCAACACTGGAAGTTTTTAAGAAGAGATTGGATATCCACTTGTCTGAAATGGTGTAGGGTTTCCTGCCTAAGCAGAGGGTTGGATTAGAAGACCTCCAAGGTCCCTTCCAACTCTGTTATTCTATATCTATATATCTGCAGGCAGGGTTCACACAACATGCCAATCCCCGAACACATTAACAGATCATGAAAGTTCACATAAAATGAAATCCAACGAACTGAGTTGGATTAGGACATTCAATTCCCCTTTTTTCAGGGTATGCTTTTTAAGAGTCAAATTACATTATTATAGGCAGGCAGGTTCACAAAAACGTGCCTTAAGCCCAAGCAGTAACTGCATGTGGTAAGTTCGTGTGAAACGCAAGGATTGAAGGAACGTAGATTGAGATCATTTCCTGGTTCCAGGAGAGGGCTGCTGGGGGTTCGCAGGGGTTCGGGAGAACCTCTAGCTAAGATTCTGTGCAGTTCGGAGAACCTCCAAATCCCACTCCTGGCTGGCCCCGTCCACCCCTCCCAGGAATCCCCACGCAGTCCGTTTTGAAGGCAGGTAGGTGCAGGGCGCATGCGGAGGTTCGGGAAGGGCGAAAAACGCCCTCCCTATGATGCAGGAGGCCGACTAGGACACGCCCATTATGGACATGCCCACTCATCAACCGGGCAAAGAACCCCTTGCTAAAATTTTTGAAGCCCACCCCTGCCTGGTTCCCTTACCCTCCTAAGACAAATTGAACTGCAGAGGATCCAAGCCTTATGTTAGTGTCATCCAGCACATAATAAGAATGCAGGCACAATCTTCTGCATCTCCTTCCTTATAAAACTTTTCTTCTTTCCTGCTTGCGATTTGCCATGCAAGTTCATCCTCTCTCCCTACCAAGCTTTTCCCGGGAAATGGGGTGTGATTGCCTCCCCTGGAATACCCTCCTTCTTCCTGGGGATCTGGATTTCTTTCTGGGGACAACACAACTGGAGGCAAAACAGCTTGTCTGGAGGTCTCCTCCCACCGACCCCCGCTCTGCCTGTTACGAGCATAGAAAGGGTGGCAGGGGAACATGGGATCTGTCCTCTCCCATTCTCAGGACTCAAAAGATTGAATCTGGATGAGGGCCTATATCTCTTACTTCTTCAGCGTGAGAATCTCCTGCCTCCCTTTGAATGGGAAAACATCCACCAGTCACTCAGGACCACAGCTGGATCTCTTTCCTTCGAGACTTTCCTCCAGTTTTATCTCCTGCAAAACTCAAAGGGTTAAGGAGAGAGCGTGCAGTTCCTAGAGAGGCAAGATTAAGCATGTCACTTCCTTCTCACCCTCCTCTGGAATCTACCTGTGGCCCTCCAGTGGTTCAATGCTGAAGTGCATGGATGCTGCTTTCTCTTTGCAGAGGGAGCTCCTGGTGGGTTGTATGTACATTGCAGGTACTAATGCAAAGAAGGAAGAAAGGTAAATTTCTGATGGGGACCAGGTGTTTATCATGTCCACCCTGATCAGGAAGCCTTCTCAATCCAAGTGCTTTTAACTTAATGTTAGACCTACCTGCAACCCTCCATATTTAAGAAAATCTGGAGAAAGTTGTATCCCTGCATGGGGGATGGGGGTGGGGGCAAGGAGCAGACAAGAAATGGAATTCTGCCTTCTTTTCACTCAAGAGACTCAAACTAATCCTCTCTTGACTCTGCACACCATAAAAGAGGGCAATGGTGTTCTCCCCAATTTGGGTCCGAGCCTGGTGCCAAGGCCAATGAAGAACACCAGACACAAGTGTTGGAAGGAAAAAGAAGCCTTTCCCTTTAAGGATTGTTGGAAGGCAGAGCTTCCCCTTCTTGAATTCAAAACTCCCGGCTGGGAGATTACTTCGAAATGATTGGAGGTCAGCTGCTTGAGAGCAGAATTAGTTTATTGTTTATAGGAAGGCAGGCAAGAAACAAATACAAGCACAGCAGGCTAGCCTGTTTGAACTGTAAGAGTAACCCTTTTTTATATCCTAAAACGTCTTTTGATTTTCTATGTGACTCTTTAAAGTCTTTTGAAATTCTTTTGATTTGGCGTGTGATTGTTTTATGGTGTTTAAATCCTGTTTTTGTTTGTGATTGGGTTCTTCCGTCCTGGATCTGGCAAATAAGTAATTGTTTTATAGTCCACTCTGTTTTTCCTAGCCCTTTGTAGTTGTTCATTCCCTATAATTATTCAGTTTGCTATTTCTGTGTTTTACTGAATATCTCCTTTTCTCATGTGTTTAAATTACTTTGGCTTGATTTTTTTCCTTTTTGGGTGTTTGTTTTTCTTTCCTGTGTCCCATATCCGTTTGGATATTGCAGGCCCCTGTAATTTTTTCCTTCCTTTGTTGTGGAAAATAAGGTGGCTTCAGCTTCTTAATGGCCCATTGATAAAGGTGGAGGCTGAAACTCTGCCTGAGTTTCTGCTTATTTTCTTTTAGGAGAATTTTCCTGCTCTTTTAATATTGAGTTTCTCATATCTTCCAACACAAGGTGCAGGTTTTGGTTCCTTTTATTGAAGCGCTGCAAGAAAAGGGGTCCTGGCCAAAATGCAGAAATAACAGTTTCCAGATGTTTCCTGCACCCAATCAAAAGCCTTTCTGTACTAGCTTTGTTTTATTTTTCCATTGTTCGTTGGATAATTTTAATAGTTCTCTACTGGCATGCACTATGATCCTTTTTGTGTGTGCAAGCATTTTTTAAGTGATATGAAGGTATGTTTCAGTCTATTCTCTTGCTGAAATATCCAATCTTTTAGTTGGTGGAAATGGCAGTAATCTGTTCGCTTGTAAGGAATTCATAGAATAGGGATTCCTTACAAGGAGGACCCAGATTGTGGGGGCAATAAACTGACTTTGTATAAATATACAAAAGTATGAAGGCTATTGCTTAACGCATTGTAAGCCGCCCTGAGTCTCCGGAGAAGGGTGGCATATAAATTAAAGCAAAAAAAAAAAAAAAAAATTGCAGGAAACACGACTTCAGCAACAGAGTGGTCAATGCATGGAATGCACTACCTGGTTTCTTCCCCAAACCTCCAAAACTTTAACCTTAGACTGTCTACACCCCATTCCTAAGCGATCCTGTAAAGGGGGCGTGCATAAGTGCACCAGCGTGCCTACCGTCCCTGTCCTACTGTCCCCATTTATATGTATTCATTTCTTTCGTTCATGTCCATGTCTATATTTACACCTGCTATCTGTACATGTTTGACAAACTAATAAAATAAATAAAATTAAATATGCAAATCCAGAGGCTGAAACATGAGTTGGAGCCTAGAAGTCAAGGTTTCCAAAAGTCAGAGGAGAGAGATAGGGTGGAGGAGGCACTTGTTCCTTATCAGAGATCTGTTGTCTCTCATCTCCACTGCCTGTCTGCAACCAATCCTCCCCTGTGTTTGTGAAGGCAGGCAGTTCCCCATCCAGTCGACCACTTCCCTCAATGTCAGAGCGGCCTGGGACAAAATCATTTTCCGCCTCTGGACTCCCCAGACATTCCAGGGGAGATGTGCCATCCCCATCGGATGGTCCCAGTTCCAACTCCCCCTCCTAACTGGGATCCAACAGAGCCATGACATCTACATGGAATTACTGGGGGAGATCATCAATTCTCCTAGACTCAGTCAAGCTTTGCCTAATGACATTGTAAAAATAAGAGTTACCTTTGCAAGTGTAGGAAGTTAGCACCCACCCCTTTCCTGGAAGAGTGAAATATTTTAGGAAGTATGAAAAAGGCAGAATATTATATTTCCCTGGGATAAGCATGTTTTGAAGCAGCTCCCATCTTCCTGCCCTCACCCTTTGTCAATGGGCCATTAAGGCCTGGGCCAGTCTATTCTACATAACAAAGATCTGCCTCCTTCAGGCAGAGCCAAAGTAGGAATTGCCAAAGATCCAACAAAGATAGGATTAGCCCTCTACACAATAGCAGCAGAAACTCACCACATGTGACCTGGGAAGCACATGTGACCATCAGCCAGCAAGGCTAGCTAAGACCCCCCACCCCCTGGGAGTCTGACAACCAATCAGGATACTCTTTTGGGGCCCCAAGAAATGCAGAGCCAGAGAGAGCATAAAAACCCGAAGATTTTCTGTATCTGCCCCTTTTCTGTTCAGGAACTCAAGCCATGTGATCCTGTCCACCATTAAACCATCTTTCCAAGCAGTCTCCATGTTCCCAGTATCTGTTTCCCCACTTGGAGCAGAACCCAGAAGGATATTTCTTCCAACAGAACCAAAATGTTAACAAGTTACTCACATTTTAGTCCTAGAATGGTTGTGTGAACCAAGCCTTACTTTGTGGTTTACTGTGTCATTGGAACCAAATGCTGCATAAACTAATTTTGGCAGTGTGTTCATTTAGATCAGCATTCCTTAAAGTGTGGTATGGTATTAGACGCTCTCAAGAGTCTGCAAAATATAAATTATTTTCTGGTTATTTAAGACAATTGCAAAGAAAATAGTCATTTTTATTTAAAAGGATTTTCATGAAATATTTAATATCTTAATGAACTTATTACTGTCTTTACATGAATCAAATCTACAAATGCATCAGTTTTAATTTTTTAAATGGTAAACGGTGATAAATATACAAACCAAAGTTATTTGGGGCTTTTTAAAAATTCCTAAAAGCAAAAGGTTTAAGAAACACCGATTTAGACTTTTGCAACTGTTCCTTCCTGTGCACCCTTCTGCACCTGTCCGAATACTTTATTTGCTTGTGTTGGAAGAAATATCCTTCTGGGTTCTGCTCCAAGTGGGGAAACAGACACTGGGAACATGGAGACTGCTTGGAAAGATGGTTTAATGGTGGACAGGATCACATGGCTTGAGTTCCTGAACAGAAAAGGGGAGATACAGAAAATCTTCGGGTTTTTATGCTCTCTCTGGCTCTGCATTTCTTGGGGCCCCAAAAGAGTATCCTGATTGGTTGTCAGACTCCCAGGGGGTGGGGGGTTTTAGCTAGCCTTGCTGGCTGATGGTCACATGTGCTTCCCAGATCACATGTGGTGAGTTTCTGCTGCTATTGTGTAGAGGGCTAATCCTATCTTTGTTGGATCTTTGGCAATTCCTACTTTGGCTCTGCCTGAAGGAGGTAGATCTTTGTTATGTAGAATAGACTGGCCCAGGCCTTAATGGCCCATTGACAAAGGGTGAGGGCAGGAAGATGGGAGCTGCTTCAAAACATGCTTATCCCAGGGAAATATAATATTCTGCCTTTTTCATATTTCCTAAAATATTTCACTCTTCCAGGAAAGGGGTGGGTGCTAACTTCCTACAGTTCAAAGCGTGAATCCAACCAGTACGATTTCAGCTAAGACCCATAGTTGAAGGATGTAGTGTACATCCCAAAGGTGCTTTTTCAGGAGGCTACTGGACTTTCTGGTTTTTCTTTGAAGATGTTTTACTTCTCATGGGGAATGGAAGGATTTATACCGGATTCCTCACCATCCTGTCTGAGCTGAAGAAGCTTCTTGGATGAGAAGCGAAACGTCTTCACAGAAAAACCAGAAAGTCCAATTGCCTCTTGGAAAAAGCATCTTTGGGACAACCACAATCTGGATGACTGAAAATCTCCGCAGACCTGTAGTGTACATTTTCACTGGGACTCAAATCCTTTGGGATTTGGGAACATTCCCCCCCCCCACGGAACTGTGCTGTTTAGATAGCGAATTGTAGTGAATTAGTTACCTTAAGAATTAAGAGCTGTCTCTTTAAGAGATTGCATTGTGGGGGAATGTAGACAGAGGTTGCATTATGGGAAATGTAGTCCATGACATGTCTGTGTCTGATTGGCCACTGAGGCTCTCTGCCTGGGGTGTAGAACAAAGCCCCGGCCATTATGAATTGCAAAGGAGGAGAGAAGCATGTTTTCTGAACCGGGGAACAAATCTACTGTCCTTTTACACTAGGAAATAGAACAGATTATGAAATATACTAATGAATCTCACCTTTGACTCACCATGATTGTAAGTCCGTGTTTTGAGGCTACCCGAAATAATCTTGATCTGTATGAAAACCTGTTTGCTAGAGTTTAACTGCCTGTTCCCAGGCAGTTAAACTAATTGCACCAAATTGAGACCTTTGCTTAGCCACGGGAGTGAAAAAGCCTGCTTTCCTTCTTTTTGCATCCTAAACTCCGTTTGGATTTAACTGAGTAAAATATTCTGCCTGGCAGTAAAAGGACAGAAAATGGATACCCCCCCTCCACCCCTTTCTCTTCTTGGAACAAAGAGGAAAGACCTTTCTGGTGTCAATTAAGAAGATTGCCGTGCTATAAAGGGGCCCAGGGCTGCATGTTCGAATCACGTTTGCAAAGTTTTTATGTGCATGTTGCTTTAGGAGACTACCTCGGCAGTAAAAAGAAAAAAAGCCGTATTTTAGTACAAAGCAAGCCCAGCTACATGGTCTCCATGGAGATAGAATTTGCATGATACAAGGTGCTTCTCCCAGCCTAGCCAGCTCAATCTGCATTTGAAGAGCAAGTTGCAAAGGCATTTTGTAAGGGAAAGATCTGATGCAGATGAGCAGACCAGCTGCAGTGCATGCTGTTACTTTGAATCTTGCTTGAAGAAAATAGTGGAAAGCTAAATCCCCTTTATAGGGCAAGCAATTCCAGTCCAAAGGAACTGAAGTTCGAGGAAAGACTCTTAGGGTTCCCAAATCGGACAGTTGCTTTGCAGCTCTATTCAAAGGAACACAGCATTAGTTAGGTTACAGCGTCCTCTAGTGGCTCATCTGCAAACTACAAACCAGCGTTAAAACTATGCAACTACTAAGGCCAGACAACAGGAAGAAACTGCCAAAGCTCAGGCCAGACTTGATTATTTGAAGTATGAAAGGGAGACACAGGGAAAAGTAGCACTGGCTGAAGCTTTACAGGCGGCGGCTAACCACGCTTCACTCAACTTCAATCCTGGACAGTTAGAGAAGGAGAACTTCATTCAATAGAATGAAGAATAAAACAGTTCCCCTCCTTGCCAATGCATATATTTTTAAAGTGCAGGTGACAATGATCATAATTAAGAGTTTGTGATTTTGAGCTTAGGACTTGACAATATGTCAGAATGGACTGTTCTGTCTTTTAGAAATGGGCGTCCTAAGATGTCTGAATTTGACGATGAAAATAAGGGCATCAAGCCTCCTGCTTATGAAAGAATAGTCCTGAAGAATGTTTCTGAATACCATTATTTGAAGATCTATTTGTAAGTTCAAATTCTTTCTTTTTAAATATTCCCGTTCCATTTCTGCTCAGTTGTGTATAACTTTTAACATGTTAGAGGCATACTATACTTACTAATAAACCTTTTTACAAAAAATGAATTGTAGGGAGTTTGAAGAAGCTGGCATTAGTTTAAATCCTGTTGATTTCAAACAACTTATCATCTCTGCTTTGAAAAGGCTCCATGGTGAGGTATGTCATTTTTGTCTAAATTATTTTTGAGGTAATAATTTATGAATCCTCTGCAACTTCTGATTTACTTACAGTATATACGGAAGGGGGTGATTGGAATGGAAGACTTTACAGTGGTTTGATTGAAATGTCTATTAGGAATGTTAGGAATATTTTTGCTAACCGCAGTTTGTAGTTATACACTATGCTGAGCTAGGATTCAGATCGTTAATAAACTGGTTCTTTGCATGTCAGCCATTTATCTGCTATTAGTTAATATCCTTTAAAGCAGAGTGGTCACTTAGTTTCTTCTTTACACTCTGGCACTGTTTCCTGCTTCATAATAACTTCATTATTAAAATCTAGTATCAAATGACAGCAATGTTTTGTTATATGGGAAAAAATAATAAGGAAAGAGATGTCAAACACCGATTGGCCATGCATCTGTTTTAATGAAAACACACCAGTCACCAAAAATTTAAAAAGAGAATTTGTGCCTCCTCTAATGATATTGCATCACTGCCCTGTTCCTTGCTGTCATTTGTAGCTAAAGAGATAAACAACTCTTCCCAAACCTCATTTATGGTTTTTGGCATCAAAAGAGTCATTATGTTTTCAATAAGGTAGGATCAGGCGATGCCTCTAATTACAAATACCAGCTGTTTCTCCCAGATATAAGGGGCCTTGATGATTTTCATGTGTACAAGAAAAAGATGAAAATGATGAAAACAAATATTCAAGATCATCTCATTTTGTGCATTATTCTCTATTACATCCTACAAGTTTGGATTTGTAATGAAATATATTGAAAAAACTTGCAGGTCATTCTTCATTAAGCTTACCTTGAATACCAAGTTTGTAATTACATCAAATTAAACTAAATGTAGTGGTGGAATAGAATTGAACTTCTTATGAGAGCTTTCTTCATGACTTTGAGATTTTTAAAAGTGCATCTTAGTAACAGTGGCATGTTTCCTTTCAGGTTGGTGCTGCATTACCTGTTGATGTTTTGACATATGAGGAAAAAACGTTGACTGCCATACTTAGAGTATCTAATGTGTAAGACATTTTGAATATGTTTTCTTGGCAAGTGTGGTTAAATAAAAGAATGCTTTCTAACCTAATAATAAAAATGGAGATAATTATTTTTAAATTCAAGTAAGGAGTCATAAGTCTTGTACCATTTTTTTATCCTTCAAACCTAGCAGCTTTAAGATGTGTAGACTTCTCCCATGCTGGCTGGGAAATTTTGAAAGTTGAAGTGTACACATCTTGAGGTTGGTAAATTTGAGAAACACTGGTTTGTGGAGTTCTCTGAGCTTATTTCCTTGCAGATGTTTCATTACCCAAGTAGCTAATTCCATCAGGGATAGTGAGTGTGGTGTTTGCTCCCCATTTATATACAGTAGCTTGTCCTGTCAGTGTTGGTGGAGGATGTGTTCTAATATATTTCGTTCTTAGTTTTTTTTTTTTTTATAGTCTCTTGGCTGGTTTGTCTGAATGCTTAGTTTCTAGAAATTCTCTAGCATTTTTGGATTTGGCTTGATCTGGATTACTTATGTGATTTCCCAGTTGAAATCTGTTCATAGTTGTGAGATTAAGGAGCTTTCAGTGAGTCTTCTGACTGCTAGTTCGTGTTCATGGATGCACTCTGCTCATCCTCTCCAGCAGCCTACATCCAGATAAACAGGGATTGACACCAGTCAAACAATAAAGCAGAAAACAATATCCTAATTAAGAAAAGACCAAGGAGAAAGCCACACCCTCATTAATACTGGCAGGGCAAGCTGCTGTATATAAATGGACAGGCTCCATACTCACTACCATTGATTACATTAAATGCAATTGTTTTATCAGGAAAGCATAATTTGTTATCTTAGCATAAATGTTGGGAAATGTCAGCCTCAAGTTTATTTGGATCTAATTTCTGGATAGTTATGGCTAAGAGCTCATTGAACCTTAATTCTATTGAGGTTGAAATATTTTTGGTTTACTTTACTTGCCTACTGATTAGTCATTTCCATTAATATATCCAATGCTATTATTTATACAGTGGCCTTGTAAAACTGTGGAGTGCTCTATCATTGCTTGGTTCGTACCAGAACAGAAAATGTGCCTTTAGGGTGATACAGGTAAGAATCAAGAAATAATCAGTTGAAAGCTTTATTTGTTCAATAAAATTATTGTTCTGGCACTTTTAGATCTTATATTGAAGATAGGCATCCCATAGACCAGAGGTCTTCAAACTTGGCAGGTTTAAGACTTGTGGACTTCAACTCCCAGAAATCTCCAGCCAGCTATCCTATGCTGGCTGGAGAATTCTGGGAGTTGAAGTCCACAAGTCTTAAAGCTGCCAAGTTTGAAGACCTCTGCCATAGACTATATTCACATGCACTTCTTATCCTGTGCTTTAAAGTATTATAGTTGTGTGTGGGTGTATGCTGGGTTTTCTGAGCTTTATTGCCTTATATTTTTTTCAATTGTTTTTTAACCTATTCAGAGAATTCATTGTGTGGATAAGAAACAAGATAAATATGTTTTTCTAAGGGTGTGTTGAGTTTACTGTCTGATGCCTTACTCTTGGTTGCTTTATTGTATTACTATTTATTTTTGGGGGGGAAATAATTTCATCCCAGCTTGTTCTGCTCAGAATACAAATAACCTGTTGCTGTTAGCAACTTATATTTCTTGAATATATAAGCCGACCTAGCTATGGCCGTTTCTTTTCTCAGGGCTTCAGGCTGATACCACCATTATTTATGGCATCATTTCCTTTCATCTACTTGAAATGTTTGAGTTCAGCCACTTAACCATCCTATCCTAGGTTTGCAGTTATTAAATTTGGTCTCCAAGGAAATTAATCAACTGCCATTTATTTGCTTTAAGCTGCCTGAATGTTCTTTTATGCAAAAGCAATTGATTTTGTGCTTCTATTTGATTTTTTCCCCCTTTCTCTCTAGACTTCTCCATTTCTTCTTGCGTTAGCTGGGAACAGCAGAGAAATGGTGCTAGATTAATTATTCAGTTGATTATGGTTTGTATAACACTATGATGCTGATGGCATTGCCCAAATGCAGATTTTTGTGTGTGAGACTTGGGAGAATATTTTCCACAAAGCCAAGCACGTCCATGCCATTCTTCACTCAACACCGTGTTCAATTTTTACACATAAAAGTTGGAGACAAAGCTGAAATAATTAAGAAGTTCACATCAAAGGATATTGTTATCTTTTCTGAATTAACAGGGGATACTAACCCATTACACTTGGATGAAGAATATGCAAAGCAATCAAGGTTTGGGAGAACAGTTGTACATGGTGTTTTGATCAATGGACTTATTTCAGCTGTCCTAGGTACGAAAATGCCTGGGCCTGGGTGTATCTTCCTTTCTCAGGAAATTAATTTTCCCTCTCCTTTATATGTTGGAGAAGAGGTTTTGGCTTCAGCAGAAGTGAAGAAATTGAAGAGATGTCTTGCTTATATTGCAGTGTCATGTACAGTTGTCCAAAGTGGCAAAATTGTCATGGAGGGTATCGTTAAAGTTGTAGTGTCTGAAGTTCAGAAACCTGTGACCTAATTGGTAGCTGAGATGTACTCTTAGCTGCAGTCAAATAATTACCTAACTCTATGAGGAATTTGAAAGTTTAATTCCAACGTTTTGATGTTGATCTGATTTAAAATATTGCTTTGCCTTTTGTCAATGTGACAGTGAGATAGAATGAAAGCTTCAGAAGAATGCTGAGGTAAAAATCAGTATCTAAAATGCCTTGAGTTGTTTGTTTTGGATTTATATATTGGACAGATTTAGGGATTGTCATGTTGGGTTTAACCAGTGACCCCACTAGCTCTGCATTTTATCAATAAATAATAACCACCCAGGTGATAGTTTTATTGCTTAGACAGTTGGTGCAATCCATCCCCTTATCATTAACTAGAAGTACATTGTAGATCTGTCCTCTTCTTCCTCCCACAAATGTCATTTATATAAATATGTTTGATATAGTATAAGCCGACAAATAAGATTAAGAACTTAATGTTATTTCCTCAAATTATATTCATGGAAAAAAAATCAGTACAAGCCTGGTATTTTCCTTACACAAAGTAACACTTGACTTCTCTGGAATGTTAATCTCAACTATAACTCTTTTATCTTCCTTCTGTTTTAACTTTCCCAATTGATAAAAAAACTTGTATTGTTGCTCTTAATGATCTGGGTAATTCTATTATGTAATTATACGGTGGCTACTGTTTGCAATCCTTCCACAATACATCTTGATGGGAAAAACCTTAAGAATAAACCAAAAGCAATTGGAGAAGCCCAAACCAGTTTTCTTCATTAAACTATAAAATTATATGGTCACTGAGCTCCCAGCCAGCAAGGTCTTCACGAGTGCAGATCGTATATAGCAGGGGTCCTCCAAACTTTACTGTGGATTGACAGCAGCTGTGTGTTTGTGTGTGTGTGAGGGGAATGGTTTCACACACGCAATCTAAGTCCCATGCATGTGCAAATGTAGCTTTGCATGCTTGCCTGCTGCTTTGGCAGCCCAGTTCCCTCCCAATAGGCCGCGGCCTGTGTGTTGGGAACCCCAACACAGAGCTCACAGAGAGTCAAATAGGCACTAGGTTGATCTTATTACAGGAATAATTGACACTGAAAAAAGTGCAGATGAGGGTCTCTGGCATCTTCCTGTCTGGTTTAAGAACATCTTGTATTGCTAGGCATTTAGCTTTGGAATAACAGATTGCATTTTAACAGCCGTTTATTGTTTAAAAAAAGTATCCCTCATAATACCTGGACAGGAGAAACGGGGGATTTTTAATATCCTTGAAAGTCGAGATGTAAAAAGATCCAGGTTCTATATCAAAGCTATTTATGATTCAGGGAGAACATGTACCTAAGTGAGTTAAATTTGAGATAAGTGGAAAAGGTAACAGTTAAGTTTATTGTGGCTGACCTGTAACAGCAGGCAGAAAAGTAATAGGAGGCTGAACTTCAGTGCTGTAGAAGACTCCGTGAGAATATAGTGATAGCTAAGAAAACGAATCGATGAGGCATCAAAAAAGGTTTTATTTTAGGCACAAATTACTTCAGACATATGCACGAGCCAGCTCTCAGGAGAAGGTTCTCCTGCTGGGAAATATTGAAGAGCATGACCAGCACCAAGGTGGATGGACTCCGTTTCAGTGGCAATGAGTGTACCATTGGAAAATCGGAAGGACCAGATCATCATGGAGAAAATCTATCTAGGTCAGGAGTGTCAAACTCGCGGCCTGTGGGCCAGATGCGTCACACACTGGCCACCCCCACACCGTTTAGCAAAGGAAAAAAGTTGATACATCATGTGACAACACTGACGATGTGAGTTTGACACCCCCGATCTAGGTGGTTGCTAAGAGTAAACAGCCTGATGCTATAATCAATACATGAGAGCCAGTTTGATGCAGTGATTAAAGCTCCAGGCAAGAAACCAGAAGGCCTTGAGTCTTAGTTCTGCCTTTGATACAAAGCCAGTTGGGTCACTTTGGGCCAGTCAGTCCTAGGGAGGAGGGACCAAGGGCAAGCAGTTTATGAAAATCTTGCTAAGAAAACTGCATGAGGAGACAACACTGAATTAAAGGTATGTACACACACCTAATACCTGCCCTGGAATTAATATGAATAAATGGTACAGAAACATATCACTTATATGTATGTCACGCGCTAACATCACATCACATATTGATAGGATAGATATCACAAAGTGGATTATCACAAAATGCCAATTTAGTATGTGGTAGCTATGAAAAAAAAATCCACGCCAGCAATCATTAGGAGAGCAATTGAAAATAAAAATGCCAACATTGTAATACCCTATACCGAGCCTATGGCACGTGTGCCACAGGTGGCATACAGAGCCATATTGGTGGGCATGTGAGCATTCCCTAGCTCAGCTCCAGCATGCATGCGCGTGCTGACCAGCTGATTTTTGGGCCTTCTGAGCCCACCGGAAGTCAGCAAACAGAAGGGGGTGGGGAAGGCTGTTTTCGCCCTCCCCAGGCTCCTAGAAAGCCTCTGGAGCCTGGGGAGGGCAAAAAGCGGGCCTACTGGGCCCACTGTGCCATCACATGCCAAAAGCAGGGGAAGCATGGGAGGGTGTCGCACGTGCATGCCTGGGGGGGGCAGGGCGCATAGAATTATGGCTGTGGGCACTCGCGCACGATCACCCCGCACTCCCCCAGCTTTTGGCACGCGATGGCAAAAAGGTTAGCCATCACTGCCCTATACAAATCTATGGGATGTTCACAGCTGGTTTGTGCCCAGGACTATTTCCCCTGCTTGAAAAAGGTGATATAAAGCTGAAAGAACTGTAAAAGAGAGCAGCTAAAATAACCATGGATCTTCAGCACAAAAAGGCTAGAATATTTTGGGCTCTTTAAGCTTGAAAAAAGGGAGATGGGGCAGGATTGAGGTATATAAAATCATGTATGACATATAGTATTTTGAGAAATTCTTTCCTTCTCTATTGACAGTAAAAGCCAGCCAGTGAAACCAATGAAGTAGTAAAGGAGATTTTGTTTTTTTTAAAAAGCAATTCTTCATGCAGCACATTACTAACGTGTGGAACATATTTATGATACAATGACTAGAACTTTGATAGCTTTAAAAAAAATTATAAGTAAATGAATGGAGAACAAATCCATCAAGCTCTTATTAGTTCACTTCAATGCTCCCATCCAGTTGGGGGCAGCATGTGTCTGAATACCAACTGCAAGGAAAGTGTTCTTTTTCTGTCTTTTTCTCTTGCTTGTGGAATTGGTTCATGTGCAAAGCCACACACTAGACAAGACTGAGGCATCAGGTCTGTTCTTAGGTTAGTGAGGAATGCATTTCAGGCTTAAAGCATCAAGAACTTTTGAGATCCACTGTTGGAGCCATGATGGTACCTCATTATTATAGGCACCTTATTCCCAGTAAATTAATTTAGCTGAAAACATTTCAGCCATTTCAAGTGACTATTTCCTACACTGGAGACAATAATTTCCTTTTTAATTGTTTTTCCACTGAAGAAAAAAACCACACAGTGACAAAGTCAGGGTTGTTATCATGGTTAGAATTTGTGAGGAGAGGGGGTAGCCCACTATTTCTACCTATTTTTCAACCTTGCCACATCTGGTCACACAGGTATTAGTAGGCACAGTTAATAGTCATTATGATAATGCACATCAACATAAGTTATTTAAAATTATATTTCCTTGAAATGCAGTTCCTTTGACTTTCCAGATCGCTTAAGAATTGTTTCAAAGCTGTTTTTGAAAGTAAATTATTCTGAAAGGAATCGAAAGGTGATCATTATACCTGTGTTTCCCAAAGAACTTTTTTATTTGCATGTGTTAAAGACAAGAACAAATGTAGTAACACAAACGGGGGTGTCTTTCTGCAGCTGAAAAGTCAGAAGTTATTTATACAGTCAGATGATTTATTTATAAAGTTACTAGCTGTACCCGGCCACGCGTTGCTGTGGCCCAGTCTGGTGCTTCCGCTGGGCTAAAAGAGCGAGGCTGAAGTTCCAAACTCTCCACGAACATTTGGTGGGCGTGGCCAACTCGACGTCACTCACTTTCATCAGTCACATGACAGCCCCCGAGCCACGCCTACCCAGCTGGTGATTAGGGTAGAGAACCGGTTGCTAAAAAACAATGGGAATCACAAAATCCTCCCTCTCTGTCCCCCCCTCTCTCTTTGTATCTCTCTATGTCTCTCTCTCTCCCCCATCTGTATCTCTCTGTGTCTCTCTCTGTATCTCTGTGTCTCTCTCTCCTCTCTCTGTATCTCTCTCTGTCTCTCTCTCCCCCCTGTATCTCTCTATGTCTCTCTCCCCCCTCTGTATCTCTCTCTCTCTCCCCCGCTCTGTATCTGTGTGTCTCTCTCTCCCCCTCTCTCTGTATCTCTATGTCTCTCTCTCTCCCCCCACCTCTCTGTATCTCTGTATGTGTCTCTCCCCCCGCCCCGGTCTCTCCGTATTTCGCTATGTCTCTCTCTCCTTTTCCCTCTGTTTATCTCTGTCTCTGGCCCGGCCTCTTCTGCATCCCCCGCCATCGCCCTTACCTTTTCAGGCCAAGCCTTCGCAGCTCTTCACACCACAGCAGAAACTCGGGGGCCCCCTCCGTCCTCCCTACACAGATGTTCTCTGGGGGCTCGACGGGGAGACGCATAGCAGGGAAGGGGAGGGAGGGAGGGGGTACGCGGGGGTTCAAGGCTGGTTTGGGGCTTCCCTGCCCGAAGGAAGCGGCAAAGCCAGGAGCCACGCACACCCCACTGGACCATTGCTGCTCAGTTCTCCTCCCCCGCCTGCCAAGGGCAGGGGAATGATTAAATCCCCCGCTCTTCCAGGCGAAATGAATGTAGGAAGTTAGTACCCACCCTTTCCTGGAAGAGTGAAATATTTTAGGAAATATGAAAAAGGCAGAATATTATATTTCCCTGGGATAAGCATGTTTTGAAGCAGCTCCATGTTCCTGCCCCCACCCTTTGTCAATGGGCCATTAAGGCCTGTGCCAGTCTATTCTACATAACAAAGATCTACCTCCTTCAGGCAGAGCCATAGTAGGAATTGCCAAAGATCCAACAAAGATAGGATTAGTCCTCTACACAATATCAGCAGAAACTCACCACATGTGACCTGGGAAGCACATGTGACCATCAGCCAGCAAGGCTAGCTAAGACCCCCACCCCCTGGGAGTCTGACAACCAATCAGAGTACTCTTTCTGGGCCCCAGGAAGTTCAAAGCCAGAGAGAGCATAAAACCCAGGGACTCACTGTATCTGCCCTTTTCTGTTCAGGAACTCAAGCCATGTGATCCTGTCCACCATTAAACCATCTTTCCAAGCAGTCTCCATGTCTCCAGTGTCTTTTTCCCCACTTGGAGCAGAACCTAGAAGAATGTTTCTTCCAACACGAAGGAGGGCCGGCCATCCTCCCTCCTGCCCGTTTCTGCCCCCCAAAGCCTCCCCGGAGCACCTTTTCTGCCAGAGGCCGAAATTTTCGTGTAGGCTCCATGAACTGCCAGAGCGCCCACCTGGGAATAAAAGGCGGCGCTGGTCAAAGGCGACCCCGAGGCTCCAGTTGCCTCCATCTCCCGCTCACTGACCGGATTTGCATAGCACCAGTTAGCAGCTGGTCTTTCTGACCTCATGCTGGGCCAGGCGTGATTCAGGCCAGGCAAGGGACAGAGGGTTCCCACTCGGCGGACCCAGGCAGCCTCGTTGCCAGGTGTTCTTTGGAGGGAGCCCCGAGAGCGGCTGGCGAGGGGGATGGGCAGCAGTGGCGGGCGAGGCTAGT